ACACACACACACACACACACACACACACACACACACACACACACACACACATACAAAAGGAGGACAAATCAGGATGATAGATGTTTGATAGGGAAGAAAGAGAAAACCACACGAGATCAGCACCCGCCAATCACCCACACCGAGATACTTTATACTTAATGTTCTCCCCTCTTGGGAAACGAACTAGGGTCTCTTGCGTGCAGGAACGAAGCGCATAACAACTACATCACAGCGGTGCCAAAAGATAGGAGACGTCCATTTCGGAATATTCTTTCGATTAAGATTAGTTCGAGTTTCACGACACGTGCAACAATAAGTCATATTTTATTATATGTACCAAAAATTAGATGTGTTGATAGGGTTTAACGTACCAAAAAAAAAAAAAGAAGAAGAAGAAGAAGAAGAAGAAGGAAGAGAGAACGAGATATATTTGATAGGAAAAATGGGGCAAACCACGCCTGAGCACCCGCCAACCACCCACCATCAATTTTTGAGACGTTTACATCCCCACAAACAGGGCTGCTCAAACACGCCACCACATTTCTGTTTTACTGTTTATTTTGAAGTGTTTATGGGACAGTTTTAGAAGCACCCGGCACATTTCTGTAGAAATTCTCGTTCATGAGCTCGGAAAATATGCCTAAATTGTCTCGTTATTTCCAAGCGTTTCAAGGAAAGGGGGTAAACAAAGCGTTAGCGTGAGAAAGAGTTGAATTTTTTCACTTTTTTTTACGACAGGAAGAGGAAGAGGTGTTACAAGAGAGTAACAAACACACAAAAAGAAGGAGGGAAGATATAAAGACGATAGGTGTTTGATGGGAAAGAAGTAGTAAACCATCACGCCGGAGCACCCGCCAACAACCCATAATTCAGCGCCCACAGTCAGACAGGACTTTGACGTCTAGAAGTAGACCCATTACAAATCTCTTTAAATAAAAAGCGAAATATAATAATAATAATAATAATAATAACAATAACAACAACAACAACAACAACAACAATAATAATAATAATATAATATGTTTGGTATAACATTTCTATAATGTACTATTTCCATTTCGTTATTTCTGTGTTTGTTTTGTTTGGGTAAAGTAAAGAGAAACACAATAATTGTCGTTTAGCGCTGGTAAACAAAAGGTAAGAAGGGCTGACAAAAACAACAGAGGGGAAAGTAAAGAAGTACAGGAGCTACCAGTGGCGCCCTCCAAGCAGCCATCGTATTTTTTTTATTTGATTCTGTTCGCAAGTTCAGGATGGTCTGTAACTTTACACAGTTAAAACCCGCCTACTAAGTTTTAATGGTCTAAATAGTGTCGGTCGGGGCGTAAAACTCCTAAAATTACGAACCATAAATTACAAATTACAAAGAGCTATAAATTGCCGAAAAATAGCTCGTCAAGTCTTCAAATCAAGCGTTGCGGAATGACCAAAACGAGTGTCCTTTAATCAAAGGGTTAAAAGCGCCCTAAAACCGCGTGTCAAGTTTTCTATTCAAGCGCCGCGGAATGACCACGAAATGCGTGTCCTTAGAGCTATATAAAGAGTTAACGATATCCCAGCCAGGAAGTGGCCGGGGCAGGGTCAACCGGAGATGCCGACAGCTTCGGGGGCGGCTCGCAGGGCGCGCAAGTGAGGGAGGGGAGGGGAGGGGGAGGAGAGAAAAAAAGAAATGACGTGCAATCATGCAAGATTGGCGAGGCGGAAATTGATTGGGTCTCTGAACGGGACGATTTGAACAACTTTTGAGAGAGCGTTTTCTTCTTAGCGGACAATTGTCGAGCTTTAT